AATACGCCTTCATCTGTGAAAAGAGCCCTGACAGCCTGCTCTGTGAAAATGATCTCTAGGATATTACTGAATTATCAGTTTCAGTTTTATTCATAAGTAATTATAGTTTCATGTCTTAAGATTAAAAATTATCAAGATTATTGTTGGTGAGTTTTATTTTATGCTCCACATCTTGCAATATTTCTCTTTTGATAGTTGATACAGCAAACTGATCTCGACTTAAATCAAGGTAAGTACATCACACACTTTTCGGTATGAGCCTTTCGCTAACACTATCTATTAATCTAAGAGTTACATCTGACGATATTAACCAAAATAATAAACAACGATAAAATATTGTAGGAAAATACATTTTTTATAAATTAATGTCATTGTACATGATACGCATGATTTTGCAATCGTCGCGCACTCGTTTGTCGAAGTCTGCCATAGCGCGCCGGCGTTGGCCCGCGCCCTCCTCCCCCAGCGCGTACTCCCGCGCCGAGCACGCGCAGCAACCCGGGCACGAACAGAACAGGCACGTCTTGCGCACAGAGTCCCATGCACCTGGACAACATTTCCGTTATCCCTTGCCGGGGTATGGAACCAGGAGAAACATTGATCACATTCAGATAATGCTAGGGAAGGTTAAGCAAAAGTAAAACATAAGCAATCGTGAAAATGTAAGTTCGCATCCTGCCCGCCATTATTCGTATTAAAAATTGAGTGCGGCGTACCAATTTTCTTGGCCAGTTTAGCGTACTCCATATAGGGCGTGGGCGCCGTGTCGGCGATCGGCGCCTCGCATATATTCACAATGCTGGGTTTCTTCACTTTTACCTCAGGGATAATTTCACGTGATTTTACCCATTTTTCGCATGGTTTCATTGGATGTATTTTCTGCAAAATGTATCCAATTAGTAAAATGGAGTAGTAAATGACATGCCAAATACTGGCACGCGAGAGCTACTGCCGTAATGCGTATACATGCCAGCGAAATGACCCTCCTCGACCCCTCTGTCAACTTGCTTGACGGAGCTAGAAGCGGCTAAATATTGGCATGCCAGTTAGTGTTTCTACATGCCAGTATCAAGTTCGAGAAATTGTACCAGCAACTGGCATGTGTCTTCCTTAGGTGATAACGGCATTTACTGTTTACTTACAATAGGCTTTACTGGCTTCTCCTCCTTTAGCTCTTTTTCGGCCAACACCTCTGCCGAAGTTTTTAGCTCCACGCCCTTCCATGTCCGCCTCCGGTATTTACAGATCGGTCGACAACTACCAGTTATACATTATATTACTATTACTAGTGTTACTGATATAATAAATGGGAAAGTTTATAACTTTGGATGGATGTTTGTCAGAAAGCATCTCCTAAACGGCTGACCGGATCTCCATGAAATTTGACAGACGTATAGCAATCGGAAGAACACAAGGCTTTGATAATATCATTAGAAATATTACTAACTCGCAGGTTTTTGAATTCCCCTTATCCTCTTTCTTTTTTTGACACTCAATCATTTATAATTCATAATTTTTCAAACTGATTATGTAAATTCACTTCCAATACAATTTCATTTTTGACATTAATTAATGTATTTGTGTAGTTGTCAATGACAATTCTCAATTCTCAATTGAGAATTGTCATTGACAACTACACAATCTATAAACGGGGAGGCTACGAAATGTGATATTTGGTGCCGATTTGATTTACGCCATTACAATAACCTATCCATCCTAGAGAGATGTGCAAGTGATGGATGGATTGCGTGAAAGGTGACATGATCAAGGGAGTGATGACTGAAATGACGTATGATAGAGGTTTTTTGAAGGCAAAAACCTGTTGCGCCGACCCTACGGGAGTAAGATATGTAGGAAGATGATGACCAAGGAGAGTATTCGTAAATATTTTGAACCGTACACCACTTTTCATTCACACCGCCTGAATTTCTAGTATTTCGCAATGTTGATAGTCTCGCGGAACTTCCTCACCTGCACAGCCATCTTGTAGAATGGTCTGTACGACCTTGGAGTCCATCAAGACGCGAGCGTATCTCTTTCTCAAAGGCCGGCTGTGTATCTGCAATTCTCTCTGTTATATGCACAGAGTACTTTGTAACACACTGAAACTGGTTATATGTCAAAAAACATATGCTTCAACCACTTGTTTGCTCCCTTCTGTTGTAAAACGCTTATTCTGATAGAGATGGGAATGGTTTGGATTTGTTGCAGTTTTCAGTTTACAGAGAGTATAGATAATATAAATAAAAATATTATAAATCATATAAATTTTAATAAAAATAAAAAATCAAAAATCATTGTTAGATCATTTTAATAACGCATTTATGCTAATTTTTCGAAGTTGTTACAAAATATTTTATTTTTTTTAAATATACAAGTAGTTATACACAAAGTTAATGACAATTCAAAATGTTTACACAATCATTAATAACAATTGTAACTGATACATCATTAGTCAAAATTGATCAAAATGACAGTGAACTAAGACATAATTTACACACTGGTACATGTTATACAACTATGGGCGTCGCCAGCTGTGGAGGGGCAGGTCGACGGTCAAGGATAGGCTAGTAGTAAAATAACTTTTTAATTCACAAGAGAATGCTTTAATTACAAAATCACAAGTTATTTTGAGTTATCGCCAAATCTAGAGATTGTAGGAACCTTAATATCTTGAATTTTTTCGCAATTTTAGTAGATAGTGGGGGTAACTGGTTACACTACCCCCTTACCTGGAGACGCCCAGTACCACACATTATTATTAGGGCCTGTCCCACAACTGGCTGATAGAGGCTCAGATAGCTTAAAAATCACGTCAGATAAGGGAACAAAATCCGATATTTCCATCACATGTTTTACATGTTAGATTGTTATCAGACTATTTACAATTATGTGGGACAGGCCTGTAAGCTCTAAAAACTTCCTTTTGTGAAGATAAAATTCAAGTATGGATTGTTTGATGTACTTATTGGTTACATCACTGACTCCAACTTCAATGCACTTTATCACAATTATCACTTAGTATGAACACTTCCTATACTTTCATTCTTCAGCACCGTCCATCAGGACAGTCCTGGCCAAGTTCCTGACGCAGGCCAGGCGCAACAGGTCCGCCTTCTCCCCCGTCAGCAGCTTCGTCCTCAGCTCCAGGCAGAGTAAGATCTCGTAAGTCTCTGTGGAGGAGAACACTGGTTCCTCTGACTCCAGCAGCGGCAAAGTGTCCAGCAATAACGTCTCCCAGAAGCTGAAAATTGTTTATTTCAATAAGTTTATTTGTACCTTACATTAATAAAACTTTATGAAATGATAAATGTGTAACTCACTATTCCGGTGCAATTTTGGATGTGATTAAAGAAATTAACAGTTTCGCTGCCTTTTTGAATTCTTTGTTATTATACAATCTGTGGAAATCGCTGTATTTGCCTGAAACAATAAATAAATTACAACCATATGACTCAATGATAGTGGATTTTGTAACTAAACAGATAAATATAGGTTGGTTTTCATAAAAAGTTTGATAACTTAAGTTTTACTCCGTTAAAACATAGGTCAACCTGAAACTATTGAATCACTAGACATTACAAAATAAATTTATACTTAAACATATATCTATACTAATATTACAAAGCGGAAAGATTTGTATTTTTGTATGTATTGAAATAAAGCGAAAACTATTGGGACGATTTTAAAAATTCTTTTACCGTTAGAAAGGTAATTTATCTGTGAGTAACATAGGCTATATTTTTGATTTCACGCTGACGAAGTCGCATCAACAGCTAGTGTTAAAAACTTAAACCTAAAAAAACATTTAAAAAAAAAACTATCAAATGCAAGATCGGTATAAAGGAAAAGTAATAAAAAATACTATATATAACAACACGCATTTGAAAGTTAAGGGACTGCATGATGTGTTGTGTTGTGTTACCTAGCAGCAGCAAGGTGTCGTCCATGAGCAGCGTGGGGCCGGCGCTGAGCAGCATGTCTGCGGCGGGCAGCGGCGCGCCCCCGCAGTAGGCCCGCAGCGCCGCGTGCGCCGCGCCCGCGCACTGCGCCGCGCCGCGCCCGCGCCCCGCCCACGCCAGCGCCGCGCCCACGCGCCCCGCCCGCCGCGCGCGCGCGCTCATGCACGCGCACACCGTCTGCACTGCGCATCGCACACACAACTACAGGGTCACTAATAATGATAAAAAAACTCTCTATTGGACAAAAAACCCTTTTACAAAATTCATTGGGGGCTGTCTCCTGACATAATTGTAACAACTGTGTTTCCGAAGGCAAGACCTACTCTTATTATATATCAATTATCGAGCAAGCGGCCACCCGACTACGCCAAAAAGGCGAAGCGACCGCTGCCCAGAGACATCAGAAATAGCATAGACGGAGGAGGCGACGCACATAAAGTGGATATTTCCCCTTCCTGGGCGTCTCCACCGTCAAATCCACGTCCCCTTCCCATCTTGGGTAAAATTAGGTACTTCGTATTTAATATTGAATTGTGGACATTTTACAGCAATGTCCACTACTCCGTTACGATGTTTAGGGGTAAACAGTGAAGAAAGTACACAAATTTTATTTCATTAAGGTAACAGGCGATAAATAGTTACTTACCGACATCGAGGAGGTCGTACTTCTTGGCTTCAGCGATGACGCGCATCGCCTTCTCGTCGGTGTGCAGCGGCAGGCGCTCCAGCAGCAGCGCGGCGCGGCGCGGGCCCTCGGGCGCGCTGGCCGCCAGGTACGACAGCCCCGCGCCCCACGCGCCGCGCGCGCCGCACGCGCCGCCCCCCAGCACCAGCGACCCGTACTCCAGCACCAGGCTGTCGCGCACGCGCTTGCGCATACTGACATAAGATAAACCTTCATTCCCTGACATTTTATTACAAAGATTTAACTCTAACATGTGATATTTACAAAAAAAAAATAGTGGAATTCAAAAAAACACTATGTATATAAGTTATTTTTAGCTTCCAGCTTTGTCAGGTTATCCTTCGATACAGGCCTTCCCTAGATTCATGCTGACACATTCAACATCAAATATAACTCGCTTGAGGAAGGCTTCATAAGTGTTATTTTAAATTCTTACAATTCTTTTTTAATTGGTCTTATAATATTTTTCTTTTATTTCATTGTAATTTCGCATGCTATTATGTACACCACATAACACATTGTAAAAATATTGTAAATACTAGCTGGAGCTCGCGACTTCGTCCGCGTGGAATTAAAAAAAATAGTAAAAAATACAGCCTGTGACATAAGCTTTCAAATGGTGTAAAAAATGTATAAATTGATTTGATTAGATTGGAACTACTTTATTAAGTTTATGTCACTTAATTTTACTTAAACTTAACAAATGAAATTTATTTGCACAAGGTAATTTAATAAATAAAACATAATAAAATAGCTTTTAACTGCGATTCCATCCGTGAGACTTATTGTCAAATTACAGACTGTAGCAAATTTCATCAAGATTTGTTTTATTATCGTTTCTTATATTTTTTCTTATATCGCTAGGGATTGGAACAAGTTCCCGGAGTCTGTTTCTCTGTCCAAATGTGACGTAGGGGCCTTCAAAAGAAGAGTAAGCTATCTACTAAACTAGTGTTGTACCATCTTCTTTGTGGTCAAGCACTACCTTAACGAAGATAAAAAAGATTCCTAGTACTTACTCAGTCTGGTGTTCATCCAACACTTGCAGCTTGCCGCAGTGGTACAGCATATCGGTCAAATGTGTTGCAAACCAGCCGTTATCTGACATTTGTTGTATTTCACTGATCACCTATAATTTAAAAACAAAACATCAGCTATTTCTTCCCTACACCTCTCGGAAGGAGAGCTGCCCCCATAGACAACTTTCGATTAGTGATGTTCCTTGTAGAATCAACAAAATGTGTCAAAAAGTACCAAAATGTATATGTGACAAGCATGTGACTTAGCAAATTATATTGTCACTTTCATACATTTTTGACTTTTCGGTCATGTTGAATCGAATGTTACTTTGTCTAAGGTGGTTACTAATCTTAGTAAATAGAATAGGTTCTAAGTGAGTATCTAGACACAGCACTGAGTTTACAAATACTGACCACTCAGCTGGGTAGTCTACTAAACATTACAGATGTAATAAAAAAAAACATTTTGTTCCCACTTCATGCCTGTCTTCTGTGTCTTCGGAAGTTACCTGATGCAGGTCACCTTCGAGCAGAGCGCGTATGACGGTGTCGAGGTGGGAGTGCGCGTGCGCAGCGCCGAGCCCCGCGCAGGCCGCCGCCGCGTCCGCCAGCTCGCGCTTGCGGGCCCACGGCCGAGTGAACAGCACATACCCGCCCAGCAGGTAGAACCACGATGGATATTTCGAGCAGATAGATTCAAACGCTGTGTACTCCCCAATCAGTATCTGGTATAGATAATATTTCTTTGTTTTATTTTATACTAACTTTTGTCTGCAACTTCATGCGTGCAGAATTAAAAAAAACTATAGGAAGCATATGAATTCTTCCAGACTTCTAAATTTATGCTATATTTCATTGAGATTCATAAAGCCATCCCAGGCTTACCTTCTAACATCCATCCATCCATCTAAACCAGTGATTCTCAACCATTGTGCCGCAGCACTTTTCAAAAGTGTGCCGCCAAATTTTTCATATATTTGTCATAAACTAGTTAGATAGTGTGTTGTAGTAAGTAAATAATTTTTATCTTTTTCTTTGTGTGCTACCAAATTTTGAAATCGTTAAATATGTGCCGCAACAAAAAAAAGGTTGAGAATCACTGATTTAAACTTTTGCAAGTAAATTTGATTTTCAAAACAGGATGAAGATTCATGTAATCTATGATTTGTTTTAAAATAAATATAAATAAAGTATTTTTATTGTACTTACTCTCATAATAAGTTGTAAATGAGGCTGTGAGCTCAAAGACTGACTGTTCAGAATGGCCCTGCACTCCGCCTGCCAGTGCTTCCACACTATTGTAAACTCCCCACTTGATATGCCACCATAAATCTGAAAATGTATAAAAACATACTTAAACATGCTTTATTAAAACAAACTTTATTTTAAATTCTTCTGCCAAGTATTAAACATTACACAGAACAAATTGAACAAATTATTTATTTCAACTTACATTATAGACAGGCATAGTGCGCAGAGAATTAGCAACAAGCTTGAATTCAGCTGACTCAGAAGCAGAATGCAGTCGTAGAAGATCTCTGGCATCATCAATTCTTCCTTGAATAATCAAACTAACAACAGTATCCCAATATTCTGGATGGTCTTCTGAACCTCGCTCCCTAGCCTCCAGCAACTGTGCCGCGGTCTGATCGTGGCTTGGGAAGTGACAACAAACCCATTCTAACAAAAATGGCAAGACCACATCACCAGGAATGTTTTTTATAAACAATATCTCGCAGAGATGCCATATACATTCTATTGAGTAAAAAATCGTTGCGTAGGAATTTAAACTGTTCTTTTCTAAAGCGTCAGACTCTTCCTCTGCGGCTTCTTGCAGATTCTCGATGACTGACCGTACGATCGATCTATATTGGCGGGAAATTTTCCAAAATTCCACCTGATTGTCCGAATTTGTGTTCTCCGCAACTTTTTGCAATGTAAGAAATACACCGTTTGAATCACTTATAAGCTTTCTTAGTATGGGAATGAAAAGAAGAATTTCTTGTCTCACTTTCAAGATTTTGTTATCACTTATATTGCCTTGGTTTTTACTAACAGTTTGACTTCGTGGATAAATTGTGAAAGTATTTCCACGCCTCCATGCACATGCGACGTGCTTTTCGAAACATTTGTTTGGTAAAACCTGCAAAACAAAGTAATTTAATCAAAAACATACATAACCTTAATTTTTAAGTAGTTGATAGCGTTAAATTCTTACAAAAGTTTTCACTCGATCGCTACGTTTTGAATGTTTTTCCATCAGGCCCTTTGATGAGAAGCCTGAAATGTTCATGTTATAGTTGAGATTAATAGAAATTACAATAAACTTTTCAAAGGCAAAAGCAATAACCGTTCGTAAAATTAAATCAGTTTTTTTTTTAAACAAATTGACGTATGTTTTGTTGTTGCCAAGTCATTACACTTAAAAAAAAATGTTGCTGATTTAAAGACCTCACAAATATTATTTTCTCCTAATAAACTTAATTATTAAGATCCATGAATTTAAGGGTTTTTTCCACTCCCTGTTTTCTAGTATATCTTTTTTAATTCAATACATAATAACTTTTTGAGCTAGTAACACTTGACCGCAAGGATTTTGTGGCACCTTTTTGACATTTACAGGAGGGCGCCTCTGAGCATTTAGGGTTGCCAGCAAGGTATTATGTCTACATTATGGGGAACTTCTTTCCTTTTGAAAATGAAAACGCAAATTGTAAAGTAAATACTTGTAACTTACGATGTAATTGAGAAATGCCCCAGATTTCGTTTTCTGGGGAGAAGGCTCTATAGTTAAAGAAATTTTGTAGCAAACTTTTAGCACTATCTTTAGACAGTTAGGGAAGGAATAGCCTTAACATAATAGAAATTGTCGTAATTAGCGCTTATCTACAGAATAATAGAAACCTTAACGATTATTTGTTGTTTACAAACAACGCACAAGTGGTTTGAACTGTGCGTTTTAAAATTATCAGACAATTCGTTTTTGATACATTACTGAATACACAGTAATTTTCTTACGTAAGTAAATATGTAATTTATGTCACGAAGGCTTCCAGTTGCACAAAGAAGGAAGAAGACTTCCAGTTGGACAAAAAAGGTTACAATTAAGGGTTCGATCATCGCATTTTGAAAAAATTTATGTCAATTACTATATAAAATATTTTGAAATTACAAAAGTGTGGTATATATGAGGGTATCTCCATATAATGTACCGTCCATTCACTAAAAATAAATCAGTCCAGTACCAACCGCCGTTTTATTAACATTACATTGGCCGTTTCAATAACACCCCTACATTACAAAAACTAAACGTATTATACATGCGTCCGCTCGGGAGTTAGGCAATTTCGTGAAATAACAAAGGGTAACACATTTTCGTTACAACAGATATAACATGATTCGTATTTTCAAATGGAATTACTGGACCCCCTACTTCTTTGCGATAAAATTATCTCCTACTTTAAAAAAACTCCCTTGCACTACTTTTCAACACTTTCATTACTTTTTTCATGGAATAACATTAACAAACCACGAAACATGCGAAAAGTAAAGACGGGAAGTGAACTGACAAGCTATGTCACTATTACCCTGAGCTTAAATGTCATTTATTTTTTACTTCAAGTGGAATAAAAAATAATAACATCGTTGCGATGTCCTGTTTTAGATTATACGATTTTATCTATATTTATTTATTATGTGAAATAAATCTAACAAGTGATTGTTTTGATAGACAAGATTCATATTCATGATTTAAACAGGATACGTAGAGTATGAAGCCTCGAGACTTACTGGAAGTGAGTTCCTAATGTGACTTAGCTCATTTTCTTGTATTTCACTATAATTGATTTCTCTAAAAGTAACAATTTTGCAGATGACTATGGCTGTGGTAAAGTTAGATCGGATTAAAATAATTGCATGCAAAAAATGCAATAAAGGCTTTACAAAACGAAAAGATTATAAACTTCATAAAATGAAGCACGATTTGAAAAGCATGTAAGTATATGTTTATAATATTTTAAAGTATTGAGTCAGTCTCTTTTACTTATGTTAACATGGTAATAGAAAAGGTAAACTCAAAACTACTGGACCCATTTTGTAAATTCTTTCACCATTAGAAACCTACATTGTCATAGACTAACGTACTTAAATGTAACATACTATAGGTAATACTGGATATTTTTAATTTCGAAGTCAAGCAAAAGCTAGTACCCCAATAAAAAACCATATTTGTTCAAGTGGCCACCTTAACTTTCATTGGTTTTCCAGGCCTGAAGAGAGAATCGAAAAATATAGGAGCTTCTATGGCAGAAATCCTAGTTATGAAAAGAAATTCCAATGTGACCATTGTCATCTAAGATTTGTCTCAAAGGACAGTGTCAAACTCCATTCCGTTTTACATTATCCTTTCCCGAACATCTGCGATTGTGGTGTAGGTTTCTATAAGAAAAAAGATCTGGAATCTCACATGAAAATGGTTCATAACAAAGAAATTAAAAAACATATAGAGAAAATTACTGATGGTGTGAAAAAGAAATTTAAATCAGAAAGTGACTGATATTTGTTTTACCACAAAATAATTCAGGTTTTGTAGATAAGCATTTGAAATTATTTCTGCAGTCATTGTTTATTTTATTTCAACAAAAGTTCTTTACAAATTTTAGGGCCTGTCCCACCAAATTGTAAATCGTCTGATAACAATCTATGTAAAATATGTGATGGAAATATCAGATTTTGTTACCTTATCTGAGAGTGACGTCATTTTCAATCTATCTGAGCCTCTATCAGCCAGTGGTACAACAGGCTCTGAATTTAACAAAAGACATTTGGAGTAAAGTGAGGCTGTGTGAAGTAGGTACTGTGACTAGACTTTCATATTTGTGACATTTTAGGCAACAAAAAAGTGTGTGTTTACGCCTTATTATAATAATATAGGTTATCTTTTAATAAGTTCAAGTAAAAGAAATATATTTTAATAATCATGTCTATTATGTTTTATATTAATTTATTAACATGTTTTCTGTACAATATATTTTATATAAAAATAACACTGGCTGTGTAATGCCATAATGAAGGTCGTTTTTTAATATATGAATTGTAAAATGTTATATATAAAACATCCTTTTTTATATATTTTTTTTAGAATCCACATCTACAGACTCTTGGTCCACACTCTTTTTTGCACAGTTTGTCTTTTGTTCTTTTCTTTTTTTTTATATATATCTTAGTACAGTTTTAGTTACAAGCATTGCACACTCCAGTTTTATTAATTTACTATAACTTTGTACAACCAAATACAAAAATAGTCATAAATGAGAACTCTATATTTTTTATTACAGTTTAAATTTGAAATGAATTATTTTAATATTTTAATTATTGACTGATAGTTGTAGTAAAACATTAAAATATTATATGAAACTAATAAGACTTTTATTTAAGTTTTTTTGTAATTCCAATTTACAGTAAACTTGGAAATAGCGCCATCTGTCTAACGTTTGACGACACAGTAACAGGCTATCCAGAAACACATGTTGAGTTTGCTTGTAAGGCCTGCTACACACCAATTTAACTGAACATTTGAAGTATTTGACGCTGTCATAACATAGTCATGTTTATAGCGAGTTTTGAGATGGTTCACATTTACAACTGAATACGTTAGGTGGCGCTATTATTGAATTAAAAATATCGGACCTCCAAAAACAGTAACTACTCTAGCTAAGTTAGTATTTGGTGAAGTAAATATTCGTAAGTTCTGCTTACTCCTTTTTATTTAAAGAACTGTTACATACCTAATATCATATAATAGTAAAAAAATATGGAAAAACGGTCCAACAGTATATAAGTCTAGTAAATTGAACGATAATTTCGACAAAATTTAGGTAACATTTTTACTAAAACTAGTACCATGCTTATGCCATGATTTTTATCTTGCTTTCTATTACTTAAAAAGTCTTTGGTTAACATCGTTACCATATAGATTAACAACCTACACATCGCATAATACAATTACGATATTAATCTCATTCTAATACCTATATGCAAAGCTATACGTAGGTACAGTCGTGGTGAATAGCGGTGTGCTACTTAATGAATGACACACATGTAAACGATTTGTAGAACATAAAAGGTTAATTGTCAGCTAATGTAATAATATCGTATTCAATATTAGGCATTAGTAATTTGTATTAGTAGTACAATTCAGGTAACACACAGTTGCTAACAACGATAGCACACTAATTGTATGCCTACGTTTACTTCTGTTGCGGAAAGCAAGGTAATTTTTACTTCGAGCTACACGATGAGGGCGTATGGATAGAAAGATAGTGAGAAGCTGATCATGAACTCAAAATAAATGTGTTTCAAGCATATGTAAGTGTTTTGTAAATGTACGTTTATAAGTTCCGTTCTTACACAACTGAACTTATTTGATGAGATGGTCTCCAATTGGTTTTCCCATAGTGTCATATATATTTGTGTTTTTTTTTAAACAAATAGTGCCAACTGTAACGAAACTATAACACCGCCAACGTCGGTGATTGTACAAGCACTGCGGCATACGCGTCGCTTTGCCGCGCCGCTCGATACGCGCGTCGCGCACGGCCCGCGCGGCACCAGTGACAGCCCTGCTCGCAACTCACTACCACCCCTACAAAAACATAACCTAATCACTCCTTAATTACAGTTTTTTTATGCTTTCTTTATTACAAACATTTTCTAAGTGCTTTAAAAACATACGGTAGATATTTAAAAAGATAAATCAGCTGTCGCAAGGTAAGATTTTAAACTATTTACGTATATTAAATAGTTATTTTTGTACATAAAACTATTTTGTAAATTATTAATAGTTGAAGTCGATACGAAAATATTTGTAATTATAGTTTGCATTTTTTATTGTTTTAAGTGTACTGTACTTCTAATAGGAATTTGTTACTGTTTAGTTCTTGTTTCGAAGAGGTGTTCATCACTGGGATAACAGAGGTAAATTATGGGAAGCCATATTCGGAGGGATTGAAATCGATCGATGGGGTTACTGGGTTTTGAAATTCATTATTACTAAATGCAACCTTAACATCTAGGACACACGGACTATTCATATATCCAGATCCTACGAATCATTTGCAAATATAAAAAAACTTTAACTTTTGAAAGAACGTGTTTAATAATTTGATACCTAAACGTTGAAATTTCTTTACTAATTATTGACGATTATAAACTATATAATTTGAAAATGCTAATAAATTAGTAACAACACCGACGATAAAATACCACAACGCTTATTTATTTATTTTTAATATTATAAAGTGGCAAATGAGCAAGCAATACGAATTCTTCAAAATGGCGATTGCTGTCCATAGACAATCATAATTACCGATAGGACGCAAAGAAAGAGTACATTGTTATTTAAACAGTACTTTTCTATACTAATATTTATATTATAAAGAGCTTATTTTTGGATTTTTGTATGAATTGAAATAACTCAAACATTACTGGCCCGTTTTCAAAAATCCTTGCACTATTAAAAAGTTATGTTATTACTGAGTCACATAGGCTATGTTTTTTACTTTTTTAATCCCATGGGAACGAAGTCGCGAGCAACAGCTAGTCTCATAGTGCTACCACTTTTGCTTTACAGTTAGTAAAAGATATATAGAAATGAACGAAATAGATTTGATAAAGGAAATCGAGAAGCATCCTATCCTGTACGACAAGTCAATCAGCGGCTTCAACAAGACGAAGCTAAGGGAGGACGCCTGGACTGCCGTACGGGATTCACTCAATGTATCCGGTACAAACTTTTTGATATTTGTTTTAAAAATCAATAATCCCAACTACAGGCCGAATATTGAAACAAAACAACACTTCGCTTTATAAGCGCCGCTGATAATTGTTATACATATAAGTTACGTTATGTTACGACGTTAAGAAACTTTTCTCTCGCATTCAACGTGTTAGGCATTAGGCATACCAAGTCAGGGAAAGTAATTTTGAACCCCCAAGTAAATGAGAATAATGAATTCGTTTCAGAAACCGAGTGCAAGAAGCGATGGCGTTCGCTGCGGGACTCGTTCATAAAGTTACAGCGCACGCACGGCGGCCGCACGCGCTGGTCCTACCACCACGCCATGCGCTTCTTGCTGCCGCACATCGAGGCACGGTGCGACACCGACGTGCTCAGGTATCTCTATACACTGTACACTTCACACCGCACACTTCACACTGCACACTACACACTGTACACTTCACATTTCACACTGCACACTGCATACTTCACACTTGACACTACACACTTCACACTGCAAGCTCAATACGAACATCAGCCTGTAAACCAAGCCTGTTACAAACGTTGTTAATTAACTACTAAAAGGTACCTTCAGTACCGTCGTTAGGTTAGGTCGCGGCTGGGACACCGCCCAGAGCTCTAGACAACGAGGAGCGCCTCAGATCTGTTAATTACAGTCTCACGTAACCGTTTTTACTCCCTTTCTAATTCTACTCTAAGGAACATATCTCTAACTATGGCAATTCTTATAATCCTGCTGCAAGGATCCCTTTCTAGTATCTATCATTTTGGAATCCAATCGGTTTTAAAAATAGTAATAGTATTTAAAAAATAATGTTACCAGTAACAAAGTTTTAAAATATAATTAAATACCATTTAAGATGTGAATGCGTTTATTTTCAATGTATTTTTAAAACTTTTGTTGTGTAGATTTAATATTGTCTATAATCTTTATAGGTCAACGAAAAAAGATACCGAAGATTCGGATCCTGAAGAAGAAATAAAGCAACGTAACTCTCTACTGCCTGATATATCCTTCCCTGCAGCTGAAGTGAACGCGAAGTATGATGACGATGAGGATTCCCAGCCGTCTCCTAAGAAACAACGTCTCCTGTCAACTGACGAAGAGGGTTGTCACTGCAACAGAACAGATCCTGACGAGCTGTTTTTACTCAGCTGTTCCTCGACATTGAAAAGATTAAACTCGAAACAGAATGCTGCAGTGAGGTTGAAAATCCAGCAGCTCCTTTACGAGGCTGAGTTTGGAACGCAAATGGATATGCCGTACGTCACTCCGGCGAGTGACTGTGGTTATGATGCTTTGGATGTTCATGAATAAAAAGACCTTATGTGAGGGTAGTTTTATCTGTTTTTATTAGAATTTCCCTTAGTTCAGTGGTCGGTAAACTTATTGTCGAAGAGCCAATTATGATGTCAACAATAAAATGTTCGGGATCCAAATCCGCTTGTTTAGTGAATTTTTAATACACTAAATTTTTCAGTCTTAAAAAGTTTTTATTAATGTGAACAATGTGCTTGCATCATGGAAAGTTTTTGTATGTCATAGCCAAAGAGCTATTGAAGGAGCCAAAGAGCCATACGACTCTAGAGCCGAAGTTTGCCGACCACTGTCCTAGTTTAAACAGCTGGACCGATTTTGGTTAATGCATAGATCCCATGGCTAGTGATCTAGTCGAGTATTGAGTTATTAGTAGCTAAAATTCTCCTATTAAACTGAATTACTAGTCTAGTGTGAACTAGCCCTAAGAAAGTATTCATATAAGTCAGTCTTGTTTTTTTTTTCCTACTTTCTTATTTTTAAATAAATGTATTTCGATGTATCGTGTTTGTGTAACATTTTAATTAAGTAATTATTATTAATTAGAAGTTTTTGTAAGTTATATGCAGCCATTGGTAAGACTTTGTGAAACAAAATGTTGAATTGAGTTAATATTTTTAAGTTAATGTTTAATTGTTAAGTTAGGACAACTTGTGCAATGACTGTTTTTTCGTTTATAAACAAAGTAACATACAATTTTTCACCCCATTTGATGTTTTATTAATCATCCCTTGTGAATTTACACTTTAAAACAAAACTTAAGTTATACGACAGTAAGTAAAAGGTAAAAGGTTAGCGTGGTATGGGCATGTTATGAGGAGGAAGAAATCGCATGTTACAAGGAGAACGTTAGTTATGAGTGAGGAAGGGTACACCGATAAAGGGAGTGATGACTGAGATGACGTATGATAGAGTTATGTGGAGGAAAAAACCTGTTGCGCCGACCTTACGGGAGTAGGATAAGCAGAAAGATGATACGACAGTAAGTAAATAACCATCGATTAGATAAATAACTAAGTGAGCATGGTTTACTATTTAATTACCCTTTAATGACTTCTCTAAGAGCCGAGTAACTCGTAATAATTAACCTTGTACTACAACGTCTATTAAACCAATTGAAATGTCTGATCATAAATTAATATTATACGTTGAAATAATAATCACAATCAATGACAACCTACATTGAAACAATCACTATGGAATCTAGTAGTTTAGTACGATATCTTTATTGACTAAATTATTGCACAACTTTTTTTTTTACAATGTAATGTGACAACGAGCAAGCGACCACCTGAATCTACCGAAATGGAAAGCGACCGCTACCCATAAACATCCGCAATTGCAGATGCGTTGCCTACCATTAATTGACGGAGGAGACGCACATAAAGAGGACATATCCCCTTCCTATGCGTCCCCTCCACCGTCAAATCCACTTTTATTTCCCATCCTTTCCTCTTAAGAGAAGGGTGGAAAGAGAAAGGGACTAAAATTAGGCCTCCGGCATCACACTCATCAGACGAAACGCGGAATTACACTTCACGCCTGTTTTCTGTGTGGTCGTGGTATTACACCGGGCGAGCCGGCTAATTCGTGCGAAGATGTTAAAGGGGGATTCTACCACTGTTAAACTGTGTGCGATTGTCGATTGTTTCGCAGCCCATTCAACTGTTTATGCGCACAACTAAAAATCGAGTAGTGTGCACCTCCATATAAGATCAAAGAAATCGAAGCACGACTAAACAGTTGTGCGATAGTTTAGTGTGATAGAAAAGTGTGCGCGTGCTCTTAGAAGCTAATACACTAACAACATAAAATCCAAGTGGAAACCAATTTTGTGCAAAGTGAAATGGATTATATGCAAAAGTTAAACGGTTAGTTTTCGAATTACACTAGATGAAAATACTAACTACCTAGGAAAAGCGCGTTTGTTGAAAACATTTAGATACGTTTGTTTACGTACTTTCTTCAGTACAAATATCTTCGAACATTCTTAAACTTCTAGAAAACGAAAGATCGCATTTGCTAGTTAATGTTCAAAACTAACGGCCATGTATTGAAACGACATTTTAATATGTTACAGTATATATAGAGCCACGTTTAAACTCCAAATTCCATTAAAAGGTCAAATTACATGATTGAAGCTAAGAAACTTTTGAGATTCGTTTCAGTATACCGTCGTATGGCTTTCTTAATGTGTCTTGTTTCATCTTGTGCCCTTTGGCAGCGATACTTACTGAATGACCGCTCTCTTTACCGGCCATACATAAAGCCATGTGCGTCAACTATGGCCGTGGCCCTTATTGACTTAAGCAATTAAGGCGCTATTCATTAAAATTGTTTAAACTGGTTTATATTTAACTTGTTATTTTCTATAATTTGGCCGAACTCCAGATGAATTGTTTATGAATAAACGCCACGTATGGAAAACTTTGGTGACGTAAATGGTAATGAACGCCTGCCAAAATAGATAAAATTTTACACAAACCAAATTTAAAGTTAAGGAGAAGTACATTGCGTAACTTTATGATTTATCCAGTGATCACACATGTATTCAGAAAATGACAGGTGTTTCCCGTTGGGCCGTTCGACCTACTTTTTTCTATTCGGTCGATTGACTACGATGGATTCAATCGGACTAGTGGGAAAAAATCCCATTGGATCTATCGGTCCATTCTGAAACAGCTTGTTCCGTTTAACTAACTAAATTTACCTTACCAGTATCACGATTTTTTTCCGTTTTGGTAACGGTAGGGTGCGTATACTTTTCTATTTTCCAGGCCATCTATTACTATTATTATTAAGTAAAGTGTTACTGTTGTGTAGTAATACTATTGTGGAACATCCAAACATAGTCTTTAACTTGACTTACGATCAAAATCATAGAGCATGTTTATTTTTTTGGTACGTTTATTAATTTGTTATTCATCAAATTGTTTAAGATATTTTTATTAATTAAAATATTTATTACAATACTGATTCCTGTAGCCATATCGATGATGAATAAGGAAAACCGGATACGGAAATGTTATCGTTTATGAGTAATGCTACATTTGATGAGACTGGCATAAATAACTCAATACTTTTGTATCGATTTGTGTTCTTTGAACTTAAATCTCTATGATGAATATACGTGTATTTCGTGTTGAAATTACGTGACTTTATCGAGATATACTTGAAAAGTATATTTTTAATGAGGTCGCTATTGTTGTGGTTTAATTGAGTTCATACGAGATAAGAAAAGAGCAATGAAATTCTTAACTTTCATGATACATTTTATTAAACTAATGGTTGCTGCCCACTAGTCATTGTTTTTTGTTTAAAATAGCTTTATACTGTTTTTCTATATGTCAATTTTACCTGTGTAAAACTCGAAGCACCGAGTTATTAATTTACAAATTGTAATTTTAAATATAAATTTTTCTTAGTAGATAGCGCTTCGTTAGATTCGATAATTATCCAACAATGGAATATTTGCAATCGATGTCTGTATTCAATTATGAATCTAAATTAAATATCCTCACCTTACTCAAACAAACGCTAACCTTACACCAAACGAAACGTAGGTAATTTTGTAAATGTTTAGATTTGTATAAAACATAAATGAAATAAGATTAATTGTCCAACAAAATAATATTTATTAAAATTTAACTACGCCATTTGCCACGCATCGTATCGTCGAATATCACATTTGACTTAAGATCTATCTAACATTCATGATTTTATCACAATGTTTTACAAAGCACATAAAAATACACGTCAAAAAATATCATGACTCAGAAAAAAAAACAATTCGCTCGTAAATTCGAAATATTAAAACTATTCCTGTGTATACTCGACCACCTAGAAAACATTCGCATCGGCTTTTGTTTTACTACGTAACAATATAAGTATAAAGTTCATAAAATAATTATTCAACAAACAACACTGAATAGCAATGAGGAACATAAATATTTACGATCTAATTCCCGCTCGACCTGGCCCAGTAGCTCACAGTATTTGCCGGACGTATGGCAACGAAATCTGGAAATGTTCCTTGATCGTCAGTTCTTTGCCATACCTCTCTAACAGTTCTAGCACCACCCCGTTAGTCCACCCGAAGCCGTCTTGCACGGTGTACTCGCCGCCGCTGCCG